AATCATCAGCTAGAATCATCATTGGCGTTCGTAAGATCACGAACAAACTCTATTCGAGATAGGTAGTCATAGTGTCTTGCTAGAGACTGCCTATGACTTGTATATTCGAAATAGAGATTTTGGGTTATACTGTTATATCGAATGAGCCTACAGGGTCATACACGCAGGGAAAGACAAAACGCACGAGAAAACGACGAAAAAACCGAGACGGAAGGGTCCAGACCGGACGGACCAGAAGTGCCAGACTCGACGGTCCGACAGGTCCACGTGCATTTCTGGACCGTCCGTTCAGGCTTTCGGATTTTTCGAAAATTAAACCAAAATTAGGGTTGAATCAGTTTATAAGAAGGAGATTAAAACCCTAATGAAGAGAGCCGATTTTAAACACTTCTACAGACTTTGGTGAGATCCAAGAGGTTCTAAGCAGTGATCTAAGTCTAGTTTTCTCGAAGCAACAGACCGAATAGTTGATTCGGGTCCTAGTAGACAAATTCCAATAGTTGGAATCCATCCCGAGGTGTGGATACGTGTAGACGGCGAGGTAATCTTCCTGCCTTAAGTGATCGAATAAATTCTTCAGTTGATACAAGCCCCGGATCGATTGAGGTAAGCGCTCTAACGTTTCTACGATTCATACATGCATGGTTCTAGGGTTTAATAAAAATTTTGTTTTACATCCGCTGCGCAAACCCTAGAATCGATCTCTTAGGAATAAGATTCGCTCTAGAGATCCCAAGAAATCCCAACAGAATCATAGAAAAACAGAGGAGAAGGAGAGTCCGAAAAAAATCAAGAGTAGAAGACAGAACTAACTCGGTGACAAAGGGAAATGATGTCTCGTGAAAAATAACATTTCTGGAAATTGAAATGATATTAGTTTCCAAATCTAAAACCTTATATCCTTTGGTGCCATTAGGATAGCCGAGAAAATCTGAAGGTTTGGCACGAGGGGAGAACTTATGACGATCTTTTGTATGGATAGATACGTAACATAAGCATCCAAAAACCTTAAGCTGATCATAAGCAGGAGAAGTTCATGTGAGAACTTCGAAAGGACTTTTATTTTTCAGTAAAGGCAAAGGAATTCGATTGATTAAGAAAACGGTCGTGAGAATGCATTCGCCCCAAAAAACTAATGGAATGTTGGATTGAAATAGGAGAGAACGAGCAACATTTAAAATGTGTTTATGTTTACGCTCAACCACAGAGTTTTGTTGCGAAGTATAAGGACACGAAAAGTAATGAAAAATGCCTTTCGACGAAAGAAAGTCGATGAAGGCAAGTTCAGGTGCGTTATCGGATCTTATGGCTTTGACTTTGGCCGAAAACTGATTTTCAATGAAAGCTATGAATTGTGGAAACTTAAAGGAGACATCACTCTTATTGCGAAGGAGATAAACCCACGTGACTCGTGTACAATCATCAACAATTGAAAAAAAAAAAATCGATGTCCATCCACCGTAGGTATATGGAACGGTCCCCAAATATCGAGATGTAACAAGGCAAATGGGCTATCAGACATGACCAAAATGTGGAAAAGAAAGAGACTTCTGCTTGGCAAGTGGACAGACTTTGCAATGCAGATTTTTATTTGACGAAATCTGAAGATGACGGGCGTTCGCTAGACCATGAATCTTGATGTCAGAAGAATGGTCAAGACGAAGATGTCATACGTCAAAATCGACCGAAGAGAGGGCAGTGCAAATAGATGAAGATGCGGAAAACAAAGACGAAGAAGTGAGTGATGGTTCTAGAAGATAGAGGTCATGACAACTTCTACCCGTGCCAATCGTCAATCCCCGAGAACGGTCCTGAATGACAAACGAATCCGATGAGAAAAGCACTGAAAGAAAGTTACAGGCAGTCAAGGAGCGGACATTAAGAAGGTTGTAATGAAAAACTGGCACAAATAGCATTGAAAACAGAGTCCAAGACGCAGAAATAATGACAGTTCCTGACTGTGATATAGGAATAAAAGAACCATCTGGTAAGGTGATGGAGATTTGGGGAATGTCGTTCAATTCAGAGAACAATGTCTGATCGCAACAGACGTGGTTACTGGCTCCTGTGTCGAGTATCCAGGTAGTTGAAGCAAATGAGTTAGATAAAGCAGAGGAAGAAAGAATGGGTTGCAAATGAGAAATACCTGAGGAATTGGGTTGGGCAGCTGCATTGTTTGAATCAGTGAGAGAGGTGCTCAAGCCATTAAGTTGTGCACTAAACTGTGAGATCAGAGAATGAGCTTGTGCAAGGGCATTCATACCAGAATCAGTCGCTGGAAGTGTACTATCAGTGTCAACCATATTGATGCGAGGCTGAGCAACCGTGGATGGAGAAGCAAAATTGTTGCGAGGAGGCCAAGAATTTGACGATGCATATTTATGTCCTTGCGGATATCCGTAGATCTTATAGCAACGATTGACAGTGTGACCAACCAAACCACAATGAGTACACTAAGGACGAGGTTTGGTCTGAGAACGAGCCAGAGAGGATGTCTGAGCATGACGTTGTCTGGGATGAGTCACATGATTCTGAAAAGCTACAGAAACAGAATGAGATGGCCGAATGTTGTGCTGTTTATCTTCTTGAGACACTAGGTTGAATGCCTTGGTGAGATCGAGTAGTGGATCCATCATTAATATCTGACGTCAAGCATGAGTGAAAGACTCATTAAGTTTCATAAGAAATCGTATCACATTCCTTCTGTCATGAATCTCCTGCCAGCATTTCGACGAACCGCAAGAGCATCCTCCACAATTACATACAGGATGGGGCTCGTGATTCTTTAGCTCCTCCCAAAAAGATGTTAACTTCATAAAGTAAGCATTCAGATCCAAGGCTCCTTGATGTAGGTTGTCGATCTTCACTTGAATGTTGTAAATCTTGGAGATGTTCTTTTGTTTGAAACGATTCTCCAAGTGTACCCAAACATCTCGAGCATTGTCCAAATAGACAATGAGAGTCGAAATATCCGACGAGACTGCATTATCCAGCCAAGTACAGACAAGGTCATCACAACGCGACCAAGGGCCAGAGTCTGCGTGATCAGAGGATGGTTTTGGGATAGAACCGTCGATGAAGCACAATTTATTCTTGACATTGAGGGCTTTGGAGATGGAACGAGACCAAACATAATAGTTTGATTCTCCGATCAATTTGTCAGAAATAAGTGAGACATTGGATGTGTCTGCAGCGTGTAAATGAAGCGGGTTTGAATAGGGATCAAAAGAGGAGATTTGCACAAAAGAACCCGAAGAGGGTGGTGACTCAGGAGAATCCATCTGTGAAGAGACGTTGGTGTTTGAAGAAGAAGACATGAAAAAGATATTAGGCGAATAATGGCAGCCAGAGTAAGATTTTCTCTGATACCATGTTAACCTTAGAATGAGAAGGTTGTAGAAAGCTTTTCGTATCTTATTGATCAGCCACAAACAGGAAAATATATACAAGAGAAACGAAAACTGTAGTTCCTATATCTCAGGAAGAGATAAATATGCATCATAACAAATAGATATATGCTAAGATTGATATCAATGAGATATCAATATCTAATAAAATCAGAATTGAATAATATATATATATAGGCATATATTGGATATATTAATTTTGAATATTGATATTTAGTATAATCCTCAAATGCAAACCATTTAGCATTCGAATATATAGTTCAATAGATTTTTGTGGGAAATCAGGCTCAAATAACATAAAATGTATGTTAGATTTCATTTTCACTTAAAAAAAAGAGAGTTGAAATACGTATATAATTTCTGGCTAATTATACCGTGAGTGTATTCCCAAATGTTGCATGCATGCATGCATGCATACTTATGACTTGCTTCCAAGTAAATGAAAGGTTCACGAAAATACGAATCCCCCGTTAACATGATGATCAAAGCTACAATATTCAAATATTTCTGTAAAAATGAAAAAATTTATATAATCTATCAAATCTATCGAGATTGCGAAATAAACACCACACAAATCAATTCAAGACAAAATCTAGTAAATCGGTTCCATACTTTCGCAATATTATAATAAGACAAAAATGGTAAATTGATAATGATAGGCTGACAGGCCTAATTATATTTTGTAATTGTATATGTGAATCTAATTTTAATGAAGTCGTTTTTTACATATTAATGGACATATGTATAATATCTTTTTAAAATAAATACGACTGTATATAATTAATTGCTCGGAAACATGAAACTATCAGACTGCTAGTTATATATTTATCATAATTTCACTGTAACTTAACTGTTATTTCATCTTCTTTTATTTCATAATTTTGTAAATAAAATTAAACAATATTGACGTTTGAGTGAATTTATTTCAGCATACAATAGTATGAATTTTCATTGTTTATACATAATATTTACAGAACACCTACGCATACCTATATTAAATTCTCTACCATTTGAGAAAATTTTAAAATGATTTTGAAACAATGTTAAAAATATTTTTATTCCATAAATTTCTTATAAAATGAGGCGGTGTACAAATATTTTGAAAACTTATCTAAATTCTTCAAAAAAACCATATAAATAAGCGATTTAGCTGCAATAAATTAAAAAGTGAATCTTAACTAATCTAATAAAATACAAAGGAAAAATCACAAAATTTTATTTAGCAAACTATAAATTAAAACAGAGAGAGAGAGAGAGAGAGAGAGAGAGAGAGAGAGAGAGAGAGGGAGACAAGGAGAACCACGAGTTAAAACTTTAGGTAGTTTCAATATAATTTCTGAGGGACATTTAAACCAATGGGCACTGTCTTTGCGGATGCCAGCTCATTCCCTTTGACTCACACACAGAGATATTGCCACACATTTACATTTTGCATTTTTTATTTTCCTACTAATTAAATATTATATCAATTTATTATTTATTTCAAATCAACTTATTGTGTTTGATCGATTTCTAACTAACAGAATTTCATCGCGGAAGAAATTTGTGGTCTGAAGATTAATACGACTCTTTTTGAGTGAGTCCATAACTCGTGTGCCCACTGCCCACAATTACACTCCCACTATGTTCTTATAAATCCCCGCACTCTCCACTCTCCCTCATACACATTTACATATACATACACACAAACATATGTATATATGTCTGAAATGTAAAAAAACTTTGTGAGAAAGAGAGAATTCTTTTCTTAATATTATCAAAATCAAGAACAATGGGCAACGTAAGGCTCGAATCATCCGGAGCAACAGGTTCGGACTCCACCGCATTTCCGAACCACCCACACGCTGCCACGTCAACACCGCCGGAAGCTGGTCGGAGAAGAAGCAGCAACCGCAAGAGGAAGGTTAAAGTGCTGCCGTACGTCGCAGTAGCGGCCGTAGCTCTGATGCTATTTGCTGGGCTCTTCGCGGGCGTACGGGCCCGGGTCGAACCGGGTCAACCCGGTGTGGGTCTGGTCCGGAAACCGAGTCAGGCGATATCCAGGGCGTGCGGGCTGACCCGGTACACGAGTTTTTGCATGGACTCGATGATGGAGTTCCCGGGAACTGAGACGGCGTCGTCGCCACAAGATCTGGTCCACGTGGCGGTGAACATGACCCTCCACCACTTTTCCCGCGCTTTCTACTCCTCTGCAGCCATCTCCTCCCTCCACATGCCGCCACGTGTCAGGTCCGCGTACGATGCCTGTCTCGAGCTACTTGACGACTCCGTCGACGCCCTCTCTCGAGCCCTCTCCTCCGTCGCCACATCTGCCACCGGCGGAGGATCTCCAGAGAGGACGCAGGACGTAGTGACGTGGCTTAGCGCCGCGCTCACGAACCACGACACCTGTGCGGAAGGGTTCGACTCCGTTGACGGTGGCGGAGTGAAGGAACAGATGACAGCGGAGCTGAAGAATCTATCACAGCTGGTGAGCAACTGCCTCGCGATCTTCTCCAAGAGTGGCGGAGGAGACGATTTCTCCGGCGTGCCTATTCAGAACAGGAGGAGGCTGTTGGGTGGGGGAGATTCTCCCCGCGAGATACCAGGGGGAGAGAAATTCCCGAGATGGATGGGTAGGAGAGAGCGCGAGTTATTGGAGATGCCCATCTCGCAGATACGGGCCGATATTATCGTATCGCCGGACGGGAACGGCACCTGCAAGACGATCGCCGAAGCGATCAAGAAAGCTCCCGAGCGCAGCACTCGCCGTACTATCATCTACGTCAAGGCCGGAAGGTAAAATTACCCTTTTACCCCTAATAATTTCAATCTCATTTCAATTTATAATTTTCTAATGATTCCATCGCAGTCAGTATAATAAGTTTTGAATTATTGTAAGAGAGAGGAAGGAACCTCTATGTCTCTGTGGCAAGGGTACCATATGGACCCACTTTAACCGTAGAATATATTCAGAATTTCAGTATAATGATGTATTTCGTCATTTTTATACGTATGGGGTTCTGATAAAGGTACGAAGAGAACAATCTCAAGGTGGGGAGGAAGAAGATAAACTTGATGTTCATCGGCGACGGAAAGGACAAAACGATCGTTTCGGGAGGGAAGAGCATTTTCGACAACATCACCACTTTCCATACGGCGTCGTTTGGTAAGGAACCTATTTTTTTTTTTCAGCTATTTTCAAAAAAATAATTACATTAATCATTAAAAGTAAATATAGTAAGCGTAATAGTTATTAAAAAAAAAGAAAGTTAAAGAAGAAAAGTGGATTCTTCTCACATTCCATGCCACCAACATCACATGCATCTTGTTGTTACGTTTCAAAATTCATTTAATTTCAACATTAAAAAAAATTACAGCGATTTCCTAAATTGTGTACGTACAAATTCCAATTAAATCTATGGGGAGCGTGACTGAATCATATGGTTGGAACCTGGAATGTAGGTCATACATAAATTAATTATGGTAACATGGATGCATGCATGTATCAATATTATGGTCAGTATATATACATATAATAAAGTTGGAGGTGGGGTTTCACGCGGATTGGCATCATTACCAGAGTTATCTTTGTCGAGGCCACTAGCTACAGTCCAATACAAGAAAACAATACAAAACAAAATGATTCTATCTGTCGATAGATACACAGTCATTTGGATATTATGATAAATTTTGTACTTTTGTATTTGTGAATCTTGTGCTGATTTCGATTCTCTCCTTTTTGTTCAATAAGGTAAAAAAGGGTCCTAATTTTTATAATTTAACACGTCATACCTTATCTAGAAACTGTTCTTTACCCGATACACCGATTTGTCCTAAAGCATTCTAGCTTTTCATGTTATGTAAAATCTTAATTTTATTTTTATTATCTGAATGTATTTATTTATGACTCAGCGGCGACCGGGTCTGGGTTCATCGCAAGGGACATGACATTCGTGAACTGGGCGGGACCAGGGAAGCATCAAGCGGTCGCCCTCCGTGTCGGGGCGGACCATGCGGTGATATTCCGATGCAATATCATCGGTTACCAAGACACTCTCTACGTCCACTCCAACCGTCAGTTCTACCGCGAGTGCGATATATACGGTACGGTGGATTTCATATTCGGTAACGCGGCAGTGGTACTACAAAACTGCAGCATATACGCGCGTAAGCCAATGGATCTCCAGAAGAACACGATCACGGCGCAGAACAGGAAGGACCCGAACCAGAACACGGGAATGTCGATACACGCGTCTAGGGTTTTGGCCACGCCTGATCTCGCGGCCATGAACGGAAGTGTCCAAACGTATCTAGGACGACCATGGAAACTATACTCTAGAACTGTGTATATGTTGTCGTATATAGGTGATCACGTACATCCAAGAGGCTGGCTCGAGTGGAACACGTCGGCGTTTGCTCTCGACACGCTGTACTACGGGGAGTATATGAACCACGGGCCAGGGTCTGGGATAGAGAAGAGGGTGAAATGGCCGGGGTTTAGGGTTATAAATTCGACCGAGGAGGCGAGCAGGTTCACGGTGGCTCAATTCATATATGGATCTTCATGGTTGCCGTCGACGGGGGTGTCGTTCTTGGCTGGACTCAACGTCTAGAGATATGGCGTTTTGTATTATTATTTCATTCTTAACCCATATATATATATATACACATAAATGTCTGTATGTATACAATATGTATTCTGTGCCCTTTTCAACTTCATATTTGAGAGATGTGTTCGATAATGGTTGTAAAATGTGACTGTGGTCTTTGTTGTGTGATTATGGGCGAAAATAGGGGGATTAAATTCGACGTGAATATGTGATTAATAAAAGAGAAATCAACATATAACTACTATGCCATTTGTAAATAATCAAAGATGATTTAGATTGTATGATATTATTAATCTGTTAAGTGGAAGTTAGTTAGGAGGTTTATGGTTGATTTATTAATATATTGGCAGTAAGTATTGTTTTTTATTTTAATTTTGTGGGAATATGAATGTTAAGAAGGTCTATTGCATTTTAAAAAAAAAAAGAATTGGAAGATGGGTTTCTCTTTCCACCGACAACACCGGTGGGACCCACAGACCTCTTGATTTGTGACTTCTGTCTAACCAAGGCCCAAATATGCACACTTGTTCCATGTTCCAATTAATGAATTTTAAAAAACAAGAATAACGTAAAAGAATCATTGCATCGACGATCCGGTTTTATAACAATCGAGAATATAAATATGATGGTACAGTTTCGCAATCCCCTGCATGTGAAAATCTAACAAACATATCATGTGTTATTAATCAACAATATATCTACCGTTTTCCGGGAAATTTTCGATATCGTTTTATCAAATCACTGTTACGAATCAAAACCCTCGTTGTTTTTTAAACCGGTCAATGATAGAAAAGGCGTGGGCATCATTATCCAACCCCAAGAAAACCTCGGATTGTCATTCTTGGCAAGAACCAACAATTACAGTTATCCAATTCGCTGAAAATATTTTGCTGAAAGATGCTTGTCTGGTTCAAACAATTACGAGGAGAAACGATCCTTTCCATTTCGGACCACCCTAACTAGTGGTTAACTAGTGGTAAGAGGATATACAAAATATATTGTTATTCCGAATTCAAATCTAAACGTGAAAAGAGACATTCATCCAGATTTCTGCGGTTCTCTCGAAAATGTAGTTGGATTAAAGTTGCGGCTAATTTTCGGATTATAAAAAAAATTTAAAAAAACTTTCCATTTCCATAGACGATGAGATTAAAAATCGATATAACGATGCTAAATTGTATTCTATCATTGCAAGAATTCCGGCCATGGCAAGTTAATCCGTACTATTTTTTATATTATTATTCCACTAGTATAGTGGTATATATTGTGAACTACTAAACTCTACTTGAATACTGGTTCTTTCTACAAATTTGATTTACTTTATCTTCCAATATAATTGATACTATTTATTAAACAATACACAATAATTACATTACACAAAAAAAACAAAAAAACATGTTAATTCAAAAATTAATTTATATTTCAAACGAATCTTCTTTTGAGTATCCATGGTAAAGAAATTCCTTTTTGCAATCCAATGTTTTGTTTCTCTACAACAAAATTATATAAAAGAACAAAGAGGATTTTTTCCAACACTAGTAATCTGAACAAAACACAATTTGGTAATAGTATAACCAAAATAAATATCAATATCATTATTAATTATTATTAATAAACAACATAGACAATTAGACATCGTTCTCAATGCTCATCATCCTAAACAAAATAAATATAATTATTAACTATTCATATTTTTATTTTAAAACTAAAAAAATACAAACATACCGTTCCATATTTCCAAACCGAACTAAACCATTTTCGAAGCCTTCGATAATCTAAGTTTTGTACCATTCGATTTTTTTTATATAGCACCGGACAAATCAAAATCTAGTTAATCGATTATTGGTACGGTTCGAAACTAAATTCCCAAACCGAACTACCCACCTCCCACCAATGATTGTATACGATTAATTAATTATGATTGATTTTTCCGCTAATTTTGTTAGAGAGTAGATGTTGGAATTTTTAGAGTAAATGAATGAGAATCTCTCAAAAGGATTCATGTTTCACGTGTATTACGAGTATGGTGGAGGAGTTAAATTCTTGTAAAAGACGTATCATGAATTGGCTAAGTTGTTAAGGATTTGTCGGAAAAGTTTACGTTCGGTTTTGAATGTGAAAGGTGATCTCAGAAAAAATGGAAGGGCAGCTCGAAAACATGGGAGGACAGCCTGTTTTTTCTGATGAATAAAGCCCAGAAATAAATGGGCGATAGCTCAAAAAAATGGGAGAGAAGCCCTTTTTTTCTGAGCAGTTCGGAAATAACGAAAAATCGCGACCGTTCGAAAAAAACTTCTGATTTCTTCACCCCTTTCGACATTTGGAGTGTTTATAAACATCCCTCATCCTAACATGAAATAGAACAGATCTAATTCGTTTTTTGAGATATTTGAGAGCACTTTTGTGATTGTTCTTGCAAAACACTCACAAAAGCTTTTTGTTCATCTTCTTCTTGCGATTTCTTGTGTTTGTGTTCTTAGTAGAGCAAACTAAGATCACTTCTCTCTTCATTGTATCTCAAAAACGTATTCCAGGAAGTCATTTGCTCGTATAGGACGGAATAACGTTTTTAGGAAAGTGTATCACGTCTTGAAGAATTATCCGGTTCCCGATTTACTTTTCTTATTCATTTTATATCCCAGATTTCTAACCGTAGATCGGTAAAACCATTAAACAGATCCGTTTAAATTATGATAATAATCATAATCACAATCACAAACAAAATCTATTTGTTTACTAAGAAGAGAAACATGATATGTACAGATTCACAGTATACATATTCCAAAATTGGCCTTCTTTGCTTCGCATTATTTATCGTTTCAATATAGTCGGCCAGGCTTTTATTTGCGCTTTTATATATGTTATGTGGTGTGCACCAGGCTGCCATGCTCCTCCAAGTCCTCCACTTCTGGCGACATTACGAAGCTTGGAAATGCCACTGTTATATCCCTGCAACAGCACGATATGGTTGAATCCTAATTTCTCTATTAACATTAAACAAAATTAGTTTTTAATTGATTATTTATAAATTTTAGGTAATCGAATACACATATATACACACACACACTGAATAACAAAAAAAAAAGAAAAAAATCTGAAATATGGCAAAGATTTTCGAGTAAAATTTATCAAATAATATTTTGTTTCGGGTATAAAATCCGGTTTAGACAAAACCGAATCTTATGTTATGGAAATTCCTATAGATTAGGAAGGTGGGAAAGAAGCTTACTTGAGATATGGCAAAGTCATGTTCTTGATGAGCGATGGGTTCTTTGACACAAATTCCTTCCACTCTTCCAGATCAATTTTCCCATCATTTTTTCGGTCCGCCTCAGTAAAGGTCTGTAACCAATATTCAAATTTTGATAAAATAATTCAAAGAAAATAGATGAAATGGCGCGTTAATTTCCGTTACCTTATGGACGATTATTTCGATTACATCTTCCGACAGGACCAAGTCAGATTCGTGAAGAAGCGCCAAGACCATTTCTTTCAACTATTTCAGGGCGTAAGATAACAATCATAAGTTTGGGGTGAAAAGTGTAAATATTTGTAACATACGGGTGGTAAACAAAATATGTAACGCAGCGTGGGCTCACTTCTTCCCGTTCGATGAAACCCGTTTGCCTGAGATCGTACAACTTGAACGCGACTGAAAAATTCACTTATTGGTTAAGTAATCATTAAAAATATAAACATAAATATTTAGGATCCATAAAACTTGCATTTGATTTCGAATAATAATAATAACCATTATATGAAAAGAAACTTACATTTGAGTTTTTCGTCGATGGATGCGTTCGGATGAAAAACGCCAAGTGATCGGACAAATTCCCCAAACTCGATTACTCCATTACGCTTAACATCGAATAAATCGAATATCTGTAGATGTAAAGCCTCTTTTTTACTTGTATATACATAAAATTCGTTCAATATCTCTCTCTATATATAAAAAAAATGTGCATACCCGATCGGCAAAGAGGTTTCTTCGGTCTTTATTTCGAAACAGAGCGAGTTGGAATTCCTCCTGCCATGGCATGGAACCGAACAAATGTAGTTGTCTATTAATGAATCAACGACTACAAACAGAGTTGATTACAATATCAAAATCAAACGAATATATATATATATATATAACCTTATGAATGAGTCCATCGTCAATGATGGAGCTGCTAAGTTTCTTGAAGAGCTCGTATAATGCTTCCACTTCGCTAACTGTGACTGTTAACACACACAAAAAAAACATTCTAAACACAGATTATCGATGTGTGTATATATTATGCAAAACGGCATGGGTCGAGTATTTTATAAAATGGACCGTAAGTTGTCAATATAATAAACCGACAGGGGGTTTCGGCGGCAAGGACGGTGGGATCTTCGTAGCCGGGCGGTCGCCGTCCTCTTACACTTTTTGCGGAGACAGAGCAACCCATCAAGGCACATAGAAACCTCATCGGTATGTAGTTTCTGGATTCACTCTGCAATTAATGAACTATAACTCGGTTAAGATTTAACCACGGGGGGGATGATTTTTTTATTTTATTTTATAATAGAAATCCCATTATGTTCGTTTTCGCAGCTCTACAAAAGTCCAAGGATAAACAAATCGAAACATGGGTGACGGATACATTAGGGTTTTGACAAAGAAAATACGTTAATTTTTTTTTCGATAATCCAGAAGCTTTGGTCCGACTACATCTCTCAGAGAACCGAAAAACCCAAGTGAATATCCCTCCCCACGTTTGGGTTTGAACTCAGGATGAGAGCATGATTTGCATGTTCTCTCACCTACCCAAATTTGAATTAAAATACATTAATTATTTCGTGTATACCAAACATATAATATGTATATATATATATATATATATAATAACATTAATGTTGTTTTCTAGACAGCTAAAATTTCAGCTCTCTCCAGATCCTTCAAACTAAAAGCAAGAATATGCCAAAAAAAAAATCAAATAAAATAGAATATTCGTCGTTTTCTCTATGGCTGTTTTGCGGTCTCACGCTTCTCAACATGGAAATATGAAACACTAATTTATAGAAAACAAAATTAAATTAATCTTAAATAATAAATAATGATGAAAGATGATGGTGATGATGCAGGGGTCGGAGTAACGAGACAAATGACAAGGTTTACCTGCCCTCTTGTTACGTACGGCCGTTTATATCAGAACAAGAGAGAGTTTTCTGATTATCATTAATTAATCAAATAAGTAACAAGATAACTTATCACAAACTCAATTGACCTAACTACATGTATTGATCAGCATATATGTACGAAAATATAAAATTTTACCCTTTTATGTAAATAAATTACTCTAAATAATAAAAGATATATTTCATAACCACAAATTTTATAAGTTATGGACGTATATTCATGATATTGTTTTGTGTTATTTATTAAAATAAACTCTTTTATATATAAGTTACTTTATATGATCGAACACCGTGACACTTGTAAATAATTACGAATTTAAATTGATTCCGGTAATTGTATGAGCTAGAAAGACACAACAAATGATTAACACACACACACATATTAAAACTATTATCTCAATAAAAAAAAATATAAATTATCCTTCTGAAGAGAAACCGAGAACACATTTTTGGACAAACAAGTTATCGACGAACTTTCTGGAGTCATAGATTTTGAAAAAATGGATATATTTATTTTCAATAAATCCCATTTAAACGATTAAGCATTTAGACAATAACGCAATGTCATTCTTTATTTATGGGACACGAGAGACACGAGATTTTCTTCCATGATTGCGGAGAAGACAAAAGACATATAAAGGAAGAAAAAGAAATAAAAGTAACTTTATTCTTTAACTCACTGTAATTAAACAGTCTTTGCAATGTCAAATAAATCCGATCAAATATCTTATAATCATCATATATATCTTTATATTTGTAAAAGTTCCTTTTACACTAATATATTCTTTCTACATTGAATTGTGAAACTGTTGTTAAAAAAAGGACATTCGGTGACGTGTATAAATCAAATAATTCAAAATTCTACATATAGACATAATAAAATTCTAATTTTAATAAAACATTTCAAACTTTCTAAATTCAATGAAACTCTCTTAAATCTATTATACCGACGATAAAAAAAAAATTCTTTATCATAACAGGAATTCCATTTAAAAAATTTCTATAAAAAAGAGATCATATTCGTCGGTCACAATTCAAAAACAAAACAATCACCAACTAATCTGTGCTATATTTTTTTTAGCACGTGTAATCCAAAACAAGGGATTTTTAGAAAATAATGAAACTTTGAGGTTAAAATGCTTAATCCACCAAAGTTATGGGATCTAGGAGCAGATCTTGTCATTTATGTCGGTCAACATGTATTTATTTAATTAAAATATAAAATATTATCTATTTGTAGCTCGACGTCAAGACATGTTATATATAAATACAAGTAATGAATGCAAACAACTTGCAGGTTTTGACTTGTATTTTATTATTATTATTATTATTATTATTTATTATTATTGAAGAATCGATTGCACGTTGGTCCAAAAATAAAGGGCTGAGACACTTGGCTTCGGTAGATACGCGTCTTCATTTATGGCAGCCACCTAATACTGTGGTAAGATATTTAAGTGTATTAACAAAATTGATGATGAAATTCCATGTGGATAATAAAGTTTTCGGTTTACACAGGGAGTTTAGTTTTCCTGTTAAACCACATAGTCGGTTTAACTTAACCGGATCAAACCAAGCTATACCAAACCTTTAACTTAAGCGGGTTCGATTCGGTTTGGATCTGGTATATGGAACCGAACTGAACCGGATTGGATCATCTCAGGAGGTTGAGCTAAACCTCGATAAACCATTTCTGAAATGTGAATGAATACTTTTTTTAGCGTGTTTTTATATCTCGAATTGTTATATTTAAAAGGAAATAATTTAAATCCGAACCAAAAAAAAGGGGGAGAAGAAGAGCCATCGGGGGTGATCTGATAAGTTTCTATTTTCCTTGAAAATTTCTAGGAACCAAACAGACAAGACAGCTGCATTTTCCCAGGAAAAAATTCGCAGAACCATCGGAAAATCTAAAACGGAAAGGTAATGGGATCGAAAACTCACCGCGATTGTCAATCTCTGATCGAAAACGATGCCTTCTTCTTCTTCTATCTGTCTCTGTCGGGATATTGAAGATTTTCTGAGGAAAGTAAAAGAAAATTTTCCGAGACGACCAAGGGCAAAATCTTGGTTTATGTGTATATATAGAGATGTCTTTCTGGGCGGCCAAATAGCCCATCTTTTGTCCCCGCGTGACGGGATTTCAATTTTTTTTTTCTTTCTTTCTTTCTTTTTTGAAAAAACAAATTTCTAATATAATAAAGGCAAAATGATATTTTCCTACACCAATTTAGTAAAATGTGATCTTTTCCTACACGAATTTTTAATTTGACAAAAACCTACACTATATTATCAGATGTCCCAAATCTATACACGAATTACCCAATTTTACTGCAATTTACTAACCAATCCGAAACGGTGTTAAAATGTCCGTTAATTGATGACGTGGAAGGCCACGTGGCGGCTGACGTGAAAGGCCATGTGGAAAATTTTGTCACGTCAGCACGCCACGTCAGATTTAAAAAAAAATAAAAAAAATAAAAAAAATTCAAAAAAATTCAAAAAAAATTCAAAAATTCAAAAAAATTCAAAAAAATTAAAATCGAAAATAAAAAAATAAAATAAAAAAAATAAAAATACATATATATACATATATATATACATAAAAATATATATAAATACATATACATATATACATGTATATATATATAAACATATGCAATACATATATATATATATATATATATATTGTATATATGCATATATATACATACATACATATATGTATGTATACATATAAAATATAAAAAAATACATGTACATACATATATCTATACGTGTATATGCATATATATTCATATCTATATACAAATACAAATATAAACATATATACTCCTATGTATTAATATATCTATATATACATACAAAATAAAAAATATACACATATATATACATGCATCTATACAAATATATATATAAGGGTTCGCTATTCACCTATCATCGACAATCTACTCGAACACCTAGAGGTCTAAGTCCAAATCGCTAAGCAGTCTCTAAGCAGCTATCACAATCATCTCATCATCGACCAATCTCAACTCAAAACGGTTTATGAAATGCATATGCTCCTACATGCTCTAGACCTATATGTACCAAATTGTTGGGATTCCTGGGATCTCATGAGCGAATCTAATTCCTAAGAGATCGATTCTAGGGTTGTGCAGCGGAAGTAAAACAAAAATTTAATAAACCCTAGAACCATGCTGCTATTGAAACGTAGAAACGTTAGAACGCTTACCTCAATCGATCCGGGGCCTGTATCAATCGAAGAACACGTCTGATCACGAAAGGCGATCCAAAAAGCTCAACAAGTTCTAAGTCTCGTTTTCTCGAAGTGTACAAACCGAATAGAGATTCGAGTCCTAGCAGAAAAGTTCCAATCGTTGGAATTCATCCCGTGGTGTGGATACGTGTAGAGGGCGAGGTATTCTTCCTGCCTTTCGTGA